AAATCAAGAACATTTGAAAAAATTATTTTTTTAAATGTTCACGCCTTCGATTACTTGTTCAAACATTTGATATTCAACATTATACATATCTATGCGACAAAAAAACTTGTGTTACAAAATTTTATGCTACAAAAAACGCTCTTTCCACAATGTACATAACACCACGATCTAAAACACTGAGGAATTGTTGGGACTAATTCCAGCCAGTCAATTTCACCATCGCACTTCGCGACAAAACTCGCGATACCATCCACACCATCTGGATGATTGGCGGTCCACCACTGTGCGATTTAGAAGACGATTTCTACCTAGCACAACTTCCTTGTAGAATCGATTACCATCAGCGATTTTTCCGGACCGATACGACTTAGGGACCTTCAAGAAAAGAGCGTACTCCTTTTTAAAAGGCTGGCAACGCATCTGCAATTCTCCTGGTTTTGCAATAGTTCATGGGCGGCGGTAGTCACTTACCATCAGGTGAGCCGCATGCTCGTTTGCCCCCTCTCCTCTAAAAAAACACTTAGCACAAGTACAAATTTTTACGTTAAACATGTAGCACTGCTACGAAAGTCTACGAAATAAACAATTTTATACGTGGTGTAGGCTTACTATGGTCAAAGCACCAGTGGGTCAGAAAGACGAAAATAATAATATCAGAAAATAAATAAGAAATGATCTGTCATAGTATTAACATAAATATGAAAATAATGAAATACAGTAAAGTAAGAAATAAAATAATTAAGAGAGGGTTTAATACTAATGTTCCTTAACAGAGTTAAAAACGGCAAAAAAAATTGACTGTCAAAAATGTTATCCCACTTGTACAAAAATTTAAATGTATGTAATTAAAAAATATGAGGAATGGAAGAAAAGAATGTTCGAAAGTGTGAATACGAATGATTGAGTTGCTAAGTTTCCTCAATATTGGACTGATCACCCAAATATTGATGAATGCTTAAACTCCTGGTATGAAATTCATTATGAGTGAGAATAATGCAAGTTAGTATATGGAAGTGGAGCATGCAAGTGAATAAAAAATAACCGATACACTCAAATAGATATTAAGATGTTTAAAAAAAACACGGTTATGTATAAATAAAGAAGGAAATAAGATTTATTAAGAAAATAGAAATAAAACATATGTTGACCTTGATAAACAAGTAATGGAGAGATACGGGAACGTCCATCACTGGTAAAGCATATAGTCCTCGAGCAGGGTATGTTTCCATGATTGGATGATAAAATCGGGAGTAACGGGTACTAGGGAACAATACCTTCAGTACAAGTGAGACGTGAACGAGTCTACTCATATTAGTACTGTTGGCGACCAGAGAAGTCTTAAATTTGTTACCCTTAATAATGGTACATAGAGGTCACTATTTTTTACTATGGTCAAAGCAACAGTGGGTCGGTCTGATCAACCTCTATTTTTCTTTAGTTTTACTTTTGAGTTTATGAATAATTAACATCCTCCAACGTACCACAAAACTCACTCCTGAACCATCTGCATCCATCAACTTCCTGAATGTCTTACTAGGTCGTCATTTTATTTGGCGATAGTGTCCTGTACTCCTCTTATCGATATGAGACTGATACTCGAGAACCTTTTTTCATTTCATGTTTAACAGTGTACTTTAATGATAATAACAATAATTAAGCAATTTATTATTACTTATTTATTGGGGTTTAAAGTCAGCCACCTTCATATATGCAATGGCTTATAATAGTAAAAAAAACTAATACAATTTATGTAAAGTTTATTATAACAGTATCATATCTTCCACAATTCTACATAAGTAGGTCACTAACACAGATATATTATTTTGCATACATTGCATAGTGTATATATAATAGACATAATATATAACATCCAACAGCCACAGCTACATACTAAGAAGGGTGTAAACACGTACAAAACGACATTTATTTATACATTGTATACGTATAGATTTATAACATAGTCATATAATATATTTCACAATAATACTGGGTTGCTATCAACAATGCATGACGCAAGAAACATACCGCACACTACCAAGGTTAACGTTTGAAAACTTTCTACTTTATTACCATTTAAAATTACTTACGGAAGTTATTCACTGCACATGACGTGTGTTTCGAAAATTTTATTAATATGAATTTTGTGATTTATTTTGACATGTACTTGTTATACTAATATTTATTTTAATTAACTTATTATAATTACCGCTTTCGTCTCACGGCATTATAAGGGTATATAAATAATAACAACGTACACATCTGCAATAAATTAATGTAATCCATGATGTAATCGAATTATTTTCAAATTCTACTTCATTAGTGAAACAAGTATTTGGATCAATACAGATCCGAAAAATAAAGATAAAAATTCACCAAGCGACCAACAACACTCGCAAGTATAAACTGAAAAAAACCTTCATTTATACGTATTTATTCATTTGTTTAAAATTAACAAGTAATAATATGTAATCTCCGCATTTCTTATTTCTTGCATTGCATTGCAGTCGAATATATATTTATTTATTCCGATAACAACCTATGTAAATGTTTTTGATATCGACTATTAATATATATTTCATTTCCTTTACATTTAAAAATAATGTAAAAATATAAAACATACTAAACGGCGTCATTATAGGGGTAAAAATTTAAACTTTAATTTGTGCTCTATCTAAATTTCTAAGTAGAGTTTCATTATGTACCCTATCTAGACTGTAACCGTGAAGTAATCTACGGATTTTGCTTATATTTTTTATATTCTATTTAATATATTGTTATGTAATAAATATTTTTTCATAAGCATTGTTTTTGGATAATGATCAAGTTGTGTTATATTTTACTAGAGTCTTTATATCTTGATTGTGGTTTTTATTTTAGATGATTAGATGATTCATGCATTTATTATGGTAGGTTAAATTTCTAAATATTTTGTATCCTTTAGTTTATTGTGATAAAAAAATATTCTGCTCAAAATAAATCTGCTCTAGTTAAAAATCTTAGCCATTAGAAATAACAAAGCTACATAATGTTATGTATTTACATTGATCATTTCACGACCAACCTATGAACGTAACAATATACAAAACGAGTACAATTCATTCAAAATTTATTTTGCTTATGATACCACCTTTTCATCTGTGTTAACACTAGGCGCTTCGGTGCTTTACATTTATATTTAAGTATTAGAAACATTTTTTTATACACATTTGATCATACTTTGTGTCATTTCTTGCTTGTTTTTTGAAGTAAAATCCAACCAGTTTTATTTGTTAACAAACAACTTTAACCAACTTTATTTTAAAACGAATTGAAAAGAGTCACATTTATGAAGCAGCTCTGAAAAATGGAAAATTACTTGGGTAATAGTAGTTGGTAGTGGTTGTAAATAACTGAAGAAACTTAGGAATCATTTCCACGTTGGAATAAGTTCATATTCAGCTATGAACTCTTACAAGCTGATAACGTAAACTGGTATAAAGAAATAAATATTCTGCAGTCAAATCCGATTTATACTAGGAAATTATGAGATTGATAAAAACAATGAGGCAACAGCAAGCGACAAGGCTTAACCCCATCATGAAAATAGCAAGAATGGTTGTGAGTGTTAATTGATGATAAAAAATATATTTATAAAGGGTTACAAAAGTATGATAGGTTTATACAACTACAAATAGTTATAGCCGGTAAGACGTTCAACCACTAATGTTATCCCACGTTGTAAAGGCGATATTATACGAATCAACCAAATTGAAACAATTCCATTGAAAAGCATTGAACATTGCACATTGAACGGCTTTACCAATATACACGAAAATCGTTTAAATGACGTTTAATGTTCACAGCGCAATGAAATGTCGCGCCAACTCGTACGTGCGGGAATTTCGATATACTGCTACTATTTAATAAATGAGTTGCATAATTTAAAAAAAAGAAAATCTTGGCATTGGTGGCTGCGCCCGTGGATTTCGAGAAGGATAACTAAAGAAGCCTCAAGCACCTTATTAGTAGAATTGGCAGAAGAAAATCCAAATTCTTATATGAACCATTTGCAAATGACTCAAAGTCAATATAATGAACTTCTTAAAACCCATTTTCACGCCACTTGAAAACCATTTTCGAAAATCCATGTGCGCACGCGAAATAAGTGTCGTGCGGTGCGCGGAATGAATCATCGTCAAACTTCATGTAACAATATTGAGCATTGTTCAATCGCATTGAACAATGCTCAATATTGTTACCATTACATTGAAAGCGTTCGGTGAATCGAAGGCTTCAATGAGATTGCGCAATCGCATTGAAATGTAATTAGATGTTTCAACCCTATTGAAGAAATTAAATTGAAAGCAATATTGAAACGAAATTCATCCGTGTAATATCGCCTTAAAGCATTCCGACCGTCATTCCTTACAAAATGCTGTTTTATGCGATATTCCCTTTTGTCATGTTGTAGAACACCAAGAAGAGAAAAAATATTGAAACTTTATCACATGTACTTTAGGTTTAAACCTAGAACTATTAACAAAAACCTTTCCTAACACAGACCCTCATGAAGTTGACCACCTAACTAAAGAAGGTTATAATAATGAAAAGTTAACATACTTAAGAGATTTCATTAATAAAACCACCAGAGAAATGTCATTATTTTTATAGAACAACGGTGACACAGTCTACATGATGGTAAGTGGATACTGTGGCCCATAGACATCTACATCTATCCTCGTTTAAGAATCAAAATGCAGATGTATTGGGACATAAGAGGACTAAATTGTAATGCCTTGTTTCCAAAAAAGGTCTCCGGTCACACTCGCCATACGAAACATAACAGAATTAAGCTGATATTTTACGCTGGTAATCTGTAAGAACGTGGTCCTTCCTCGGTCAAGCCAACCCATTCTTGCTGCAACATAGCTGCAGAATCTACCACGTAGAAAACCACAAATGCCGATTGCAAATAATAGTGATGGGAATAAAAAAGACTCTAAGACAACACAAAGCGACATTTAAGGCAGCTGAAGCGCCATGACAGCGAGTGCGTCATGCGGCGGCGGAACGTTGAACACCGGCACGCCGTCTTCGTCGCAGTACTCCGAGTAGCGCACGCGGCGCAGCGTCCGCAGACCAAGACTGCTGCAGATGCGTTGCGAATACGCACCGGTTGCGTCCACTTTGAACAGCTGGAAAAGATAATTTTGTAATTTCTTATTCCTCTCATTACCTATTAAATATTTCGCTACTGAAATGTAGATATATTGAATATATCGCTACTTTTTTACGTGGTAGAGCCATGCTGCAGCTATGTTACTAGTATAGTTGTAGCATGAATGGGTCGGCTTGACCGGGTAAGGACCACACTCTCACAGAATGCCAGCGTAAAATAGCAGCTTAACGCTTCTGTGTTTCGTATGGTGAGTGTAGAGAACCGGAGACCCTTTTTACTGGAAACGAGGCATTCCATCTTAGATCTCACGGGTGACAACACATCTGCATTTTGATTCTTAATCGAGGATAGATGTAGATGTCTATGGGCTACAGCAACCACTTACCATCAGGTGGACTGTGTGCTTGTTTGTCACCCTTATCCTATAAAAAAACTGTCGCAACACAATTTGCCGTTATTTCTACTTTTAAAATTCAAGGTAATAATAGACGTCTCGCCATTTTAACCCCGTAACTGTTCATTTATTAATTAATTTTTGCCTATCAAATTCTATTTCTGAGTAGCTATTCTCTATAAATATTTCTATATGAGAGGTATTGGACTTGTTTGGCGAACTGCAAATTTTTATTTTTATTATTGGGTTGTAATCAGGATAACGATGCCCATTTCTTGTTTCAGTTACCCTCTGTCACTTCTTAAGACACCCACACACGGTAGCATATAGGATTCTCTTTTGCGACCACTACATAGCAAACAAATTACGTATAATATGAATATTTTCAACTAAAATTATAGTAAATTATAATGATGTAAAAAAATTTGGTGCTAGTATTTTCTACTAATAAATGAGTTTAATTGTGTTCTCTTAGCCAGAATAACTTGTTTCAGCAGTGATTACTATATTGTGTTAGTATAAATTATATGAATTTAATTATGTCCTCCCAGCTTTGTGACAGAACAACCCTTATTACTGTGTTAAGAAGTGACAATCCCAATCCCCAACTTAGTAAATACTTGTTTTGGGGTTGTTATAAACTAATTTGCTTAATTCCGTGTAAAGAAAGAAAATGATGTGTCCTGCCCAGTTTTAAAGGGACCTTCCACCCTCGCTCAATCACGCGCACCATACTCGTTGTGCTGGGTTGTAGCTCAGATGGTTGGCACTTGCGTTAAATTTCACAGTATGCGAGCAAACCGGGTTCGATCCCCGCTGGCATCAATGAAATTGTTATTTGCAATTTTAAGTGCTGATTTACCACGTGCTCGGCGGTGAAGGGAAACATCGTGAGGGAACCTGCATGTCTGAGAAATAAGAAAAAAAATTATTTCGAAGACATGTGAAGTTCGCCAACACGCGTTGGGGCAGCGCGGCGGACATTTCCTTGCCCTAAAACCCTCTTAGAAATGAGAGGAGGCCTGTGCCCAGCTGTGGGACGTACATATATAGGCTGTAACTTAATTTGAATTAAGCAAATTAGTTTATAACAACCCCATTATAATGGATTTCCGCAAAGTAACGCCTGATTCTATTAATACTTGTTTTTCTTCTCCTTCTTCAGCATATGAAAATTCTACTACTGGGTATGGGCCTCCGACGTCGTGATGAAATTCGTCTTAACCGTCACGCTTAGTAGGCGGATTGAAGATCGCAGTACCAAATGTCTCACGCTTTTGACACTGCTGCTCATTGCCAGGTATTTTACAATTCCATATTGGGGGTTTAAATATAAAATATAAAAAGTTTTACCCAAAGTTAGCTGGTAGAGAATGCCATAAAGCATTAAGCTCGCATTTTGTACAAATATTTGGTGCAATAAAGAATAAATAAATAAATAATAAATAATTTCACATACAAGATAGTTAAAGAAGCAAATTATGAAACATGTAAGGAACATTTTTTTTTATAGGATAGGGTGTCAAACGGGCACACAGGCCACCTGATGATAAGTAGTTGCTGTGGCCCATAGACATCTACATCTATCCTCGTTCGCGAATCAAAATACAGATGCGTTGTCAGCCGTGAAGACTAAGATGGAATTCCTTGTTTCCAGTAAAAACGGTCTAAAAATTGTATAATTAATGTAGGTGCAGCATGGCTCTACCACGTTAAAATCTTTTTGGCATGTTCCATAGTCGCTTTTCACGACACCCAACAGACAAAATGACTCAGTAGATTTTCTTATTTCGGCACCACATGACACATGATACGTAATACTAACCTTAAAACCATGTTCTTTGGCAATATCAATACTTCGTTTCATCAGTTCCTTAGCGAGTCCTTTCCCCCTCGCTTTGTCGGAAACAGAAATGATTCTACACTCCAGGATGCTGTCAACTTGGAAAGTATTGAACAGATCAAGGTCCCGGCTCACGGTGTACAAGATTGTAAAAATCTTGTTATAGTTCTCGTCGGACGATTGTTGGATTTTCTCGATTGAATGCTCGATGTCCCCGGGTCACAATATCCCATTAAGAGCAACGCCTAGGACCTGGAATTTATATTATTCTAGAATATTCCGTAATTCAAGTTCTTTTGTGATGTAGTAACAGTTTTCTTTGAGAAATACTAGGATGTCACGGTCTTTAACAGATGGCGCTATAAAAAATAGCATACTTAGGCTTATACAGATTGTCCCAGTAATGGTGGATAATCTGGTACGTACGTGTTCGGGCGGAGGGAGGTGGCCTCGGTTTAGTTTAGTTTAGTTTAGTTTAGTTTACGACGGGCTGTTTTCCGCAACTCCACGTCTATGCGCGTATTTTGCGTGAGGTGGCCTCGGTTCCCTAAAAATAAATTCCATCCCGAACGGTTCGCGGTCTACGCGATGACGGCTCCGTGGCGCAGTGGCAATCAGTTGTTGCGCTGGGGGCCGCGGGTTCAAATCCCGCACGGAACAAGTATTTGTATGGCCTACAAATAATTGTTCCGGGTCTGGATGTTTGTCCTTGTGCAATTTATGTTTGTAAACTGCCTCCACGACACAGAAGAAAATCCAAGTGTGGGGGTAACTTTTTTTTTAAAAAAAAAAGGAAAAGAAAAAAAATAGATGTTTTATAAAATTCCAAAAATTCGTACTTCTGATCACATTTGTGGTCATCACGTCCGCAGTTTAATGCCTTGGATTTTTTTCTTTTAATGTATTCCCTAATAATGATGTTTCTAAATTACCCTTAAAGTTTTGACTATGGGTAGTATTTTAAAAGATGGCACTAAACATACATTGAATTTTTTTTTACTTTTTTTAACTGTTAAGTTCGAGCAGCTGTGGTGAAAAAAAAAACGTATAGGATCTGTGTGGCTAACCTTTAAAATAGTTTGCCTACATCATGAGGATTCTAAAACAACAGCAGACCATGTACTTAATGTCATTACTTACTGAGTGTTTGCGCCAAACGCTAATTTTAAGAATTGACGCTAGAGGGCACTCGGCGCGGTACATTCGTACCGGTTTGACGTTCGCGCGAGGTGGGAGTTGGTTTCGGGCGTGGCGTGTCGGAAGTCGACACAATGCAGCGCAGTCACTAGAACGGTGTGGTCGCGTACCGTATAACTTCTAAATAGTGTCGATTTTTGTTAGCAAATTTATGCAACGACAAGGAGTTTTGTTGAGTCTAGAAAAATAGATTGTTTGCGCGGACGCCGGTTCTTCGCTAGACTCGTGAGGTCGCTTTAAGATCGCTTCTATTTTGAGTTATCACTTTAGTGCGTTTACGCGATAACAAGGTCTGTTTAAGTGTTGAGTGATTAAATTAACTTACCTTTGTATGCAAGTAATTTACGTCAATTTGTATAGTGATTGCATTTTGAAGCGCATTTGCAATATTTACGCATTTTTTGCTTGTGTGGACTGTTAATATCGTACGAAAGAATTCTAGTTTGTTGTGTGTAACGCTGAACCTTGTGACCCGAGAGAAGTCGCGTTCGGTCTCTAGAAATATTTTGTTACTAAGTGAAATTGAATATTGAACTTTGATCGACCGTTCATTCGTTGTGCCGCGTGTCACGTGTTTGATTACGATTAACGGGGATTTAGTTGAGTTTGAAGTTAATTAAATGTACAATAAAGTTGATAGATTGAAATAGTGTACAATAAAGTTGATAAACTGAAATAGTGAAATGAAGGCAGAAGTTGTCAATTGGTGACGTCCGCTGGAGTGATACCACATCGTGGGGCATCATGGGACCAGGCCGCTGCCCGATCACCTCGGTTAAGTCAGGTCACACATACACACCTTCTAACACACTACTTACATGCACATACTTAACGCCTGACCGCACCTTGGGGTCGGTCCTCGATTTAGAACCAGGTACGTCCTATTTATTTACCTAGCCTTATATCTATTGTGTAGATATAAGGCTGTGGGCCGTCTTCTGTTGCCCGTCGAGGGACGGACGAGGTCGAGGTCGAATACTATGGGCATTCGACCTTTGCCAGGGCAGCTAAGGGCATGAACACTAAGCTATAGCCATTAATGTGTAAAAGTAGGCATTTCATTACAAAATTACATAATTATTGGCAGATACTTTTTTAACACTGCATGTCTTTATTAGGTAAGTACATTTGTCGCCCTTGAAAATTTTACTTTACTACCTGCTCGCCTTGTTTGGACGAATTTTAAGCTGTGTAAGCGAGACAAACGGTCCTTAGGATTAATGTGAGTAAAAAGGATCGACAGATTCTCCATTGTATGAAATCGTGTTTGGAATTCATATTTGGTTATTGTTAAATATGGTTAGTGTGTATCTCGACCTTCTCAACATCGCATGTGCTCTATTATTTCGGACTCTTGTTTACAAAACACAATTTCGGGAAAAATTTTTTTTACGTACCAGATTATCCACCATTACTGGGACAACCTATATATATCGCTATATACTCGCTTTTACAACGAAATCTTTAAAGTCCGATTTAGCTGTAAAAATCAAAAGGCTAACAGCACAAACATCATCAGCAACCAGAAATCATTAAAAAAGTATTTTTAATAAAGCTATTTCATTACAAATAAAAAATTCATTAATATATGTTTCATTAATAAGAAAAATAATAACCCCTGGAAATAAAGTAAACAATTAAATATAAAACATTTCTAAATAGCTACCATGCTGTTTAGAAATGTTTTATATTTAATAGTAAGAGGCGTGATTGTATCTATTATAGACGCAATAACTTTAACGGAAATCCCCCACAGATCCGCAGTTTTCTTAACATTAATAGTTTTAAAATATTTTACAATATCTTTTGATGATACTTTATGAAATGTAAAATTCTTTGTACACGCATTTACTTTTTGTTTAAGTAATGATTCGGCGACGGCAGGAGAAGAATTCAGTGACTTAGTACTTGACTTGTGGATCATGAATCCACAAGTCAAGCCTAAAGATTAAATCAAACCCTCCAATAAGAGAGACTTATGTCCAGCTGTGAACTTTTACAGGCTGATAATAAAAAGACGTAGAGTAATAACATGTGCTGATAGAGTGAAAATGTAGAGTATTCAAATCTGTGCACGATAGTTGAATCAGTGCTGCTTGCTTTTGCCAAAAATGGTTAAGAAACATATCCCAAACGTGGCAGAGCCATGTTGTTGCAAGTTTCATACGTGGTAGAGCCATGCTGCAGCTATATTAACAGTATAGTTGTAGCACGAATGAGTCGGCTCGACCGGGGAAGGAGCACGCTCTCACAGAATACCAGCGTAAAATAGCAGCTTAATGTTGCTGTGTTTCGTATGGTGAGTGTAGAGAACCGGAGACCCTTTTTACTGAAAACGAGGCATTTCATCTTAGTCCTCACGGGTGACAATGCATCTGCATTTTGATTCGTAATCGAGGATAGATTTAGATGTCTATGGGCCACGGCAACCATTTACCATTAGGTGGACTGTGTGCTCAGTTGTCACTCATATCGTATACAAAAAACGGTTTCCTAGGGAGAAAAGGAATTTTGAACGTAATAAAAGTTGTCCAATAATATCGCAAGTTTTTCTAATATTAATCACCGTATCATCATCCATCGCAGCAACGGATAGCCCGTCAGCCATAGTAGCAGTACAGAGTCGCTCGAGTGCAGCGTGTGGTTGTCCCCTTTCACACAGAGACACCGCCTTGTTAAGAGGCTCATCTGCGAAGAAGCTGTCCCGAAGATGCTGAAGGACAGCCTCGCCCATCTCCGGGGTTATAGTCACAAAGCGCACCATAGCTGAAATAAAAAAAAATGTTTTCGTAAAAACTATATCTTTAGACATCAATTCCGGTGTTCGTGTCTTCGTAATTCTTCTCCTCCTAAACGGCTTAATCGATTTTCGTGGATTTTATTTTTAGTTGGACTGAAATCACCCGTGCGAAGCCGGGGCGGATCTTTATGCTCATCGAGCTATGGAGATGGATATACTCCATTTTTTTTCGTATGATAAAATTCAAAATGAGGGTATCCGGAGTAGAACTAGAGTAAGCGACAGAACTCACCAGATCAGTAAGCTTAAGTGGCAATGGGTCGGCCACATAGCTCGAAGAGGAAGATGAAGGGAAACTTTAATATATATTATTTTGGACGTCCTTAGATATCTATTTTATTGTTTTTAAATAGAAGCGTGCTTGCTTGTTTCTGTATGCGCACGTAAATTTCGGATAAATGTAACACAAATCAACAACAACATAACATTATGTTATATCAATTATTTTCAAAAATATTATAAACAAAATGTTACCACCATCGCAAACACTGTAATTATTTACTAAACAACCATTTAATTATTATAGCTATTTGTGTTTAATTTAAGTAACTGTTTGGCATTTAGATCAGACCACAGAAACCTAAATACTAAGGTACTTTTAATGTTGCCTTAATATTTAGAAATCTGTGGATCAGACCTTTGGCTACAATCATAAAACTGCCAACTAGTTTAATTGTATCCGATCCCATTTATAAAAAAAATTTAGAATGTGATCAAGTAGTTCCAGAGATTACGTTCTACGGGCAAACTTACGTAAAAATAACATTATTTCTTTATAATATTAGATTGGAAATGAGTGGCCTTCTTAGTGAAGATATAGATGCTTTTCTGCCGACTTCAAAAATGAGGAGGTACTCAATTCGACTGTATGTTTATTTTTTAATGTATGTTACCTCATAACTTTTTTCTGGGTGAACCGATTTTGATGATTCATTTTTATTTGAAAGCTGGTACTTCTCACGTGGTCTCATATAAATTTAATCAAGGTTTGACCAATAGTTTTTGAGTTATTCTTAATAATTTGTAT